AAACAATCGAAAGCTTTCGGAGGATCACATGTAAAGTAACTCTCAACACGGACATGGACCCAACTCCGAGTATTATGCACCTGCTGCTGTTTCGTCACTTGTCATTTAACAAGCTGGAAACATGTATCATGCTGCATCATGTTTGGGGGTGGGGGGTTTCCCCTGTTAAGCATCATTGACTCGATGCTTTGGACTTCCCTACGTCACAGTCGCGTGTATCACCTCACCCCCCCCCCATTTTAGAGCATCATGTCCCACTCAGTCCAGGAAAAAAGCGTGAAATGTATACTCCAGTGGAGTACACATTTTTCAAAATGCTTTTTTTTCCTGTTAATTTGCTCGCTTCTATGGCAGTCACGTGAAACTGGCGATCTTATTCGACTTTTTATGAAGACCGACCCAATTCTCGGCTTATGCACACGATGTGCGACCCAGAATGTCGTATTTAAATACATTTCAGATTTCAAATCCATGTCCAGTAGCTACATTCATACAATTGTTTTGCATTTTAATTAAAATTAATGGGACGCGTGTTTCAACGAAATTTACATTTCTGTGTGTTCGTAGGGCAACAGAGTAATGGAGAACGTACGTTGAGCCCAAGCGGTTATGATACTTCCCAACCACGTGACGGCGCTCGGAACAACGGTCGCTTTTCGATTCTAAGCTGTCTCGTCCGTTGCACGGCAACGATGTTCGTTTGTTGCAACTTTATTTTCATCTTAGCCACCTTATTCCAAACTCTTGTGACAGAAATCTTGCTGTAGATCACATCTGATTGAAAGGAAAAGAATGCATTATTTGTCCTCACCGTTCTGAGAACCTCAAATCCCAGGTGAGGGCTAAAGACTCTGCACAAAAGAATATGTTAAACATTAAATAATTATTAATTTAAAAGTGATGTCAGCGATCGAAATAAATTCTTATTGAAGATGTCGGTGCCCTGCAGACACTGGAATAGGAACGCGCGGAAATAAGGAACCGACGTTTGAGCTATGGCGTTCTAAAACACCGGAACGGAGCGGCCGTGGAAAGGTGCTGATTACAATTTAGTGTCGAGGTTAAGGAAATAGGGCTACGTAGCTGGGTGTTTAACTACGGGGGAAAGTTAACTCTTTTCGCTTCCTCTGCTAAGCGGGCCATATTTTTTTATACTTTTTTAGAGTACGTTAATATGGTGACGTTCTGAGAAGAAGATGTTTCGCTTTATTTCCAATAAAAAATATACCATTACTTTTCGATTTTCACATAGTCTACAACGACTAAAATATCAGCAATGGGTATGGGAGTACCGAGCACAGAAAACTCTCGAGTGTTCTATTTTTATTTTCACGCGTCAGTCCATACCGTCTGTAATAGATCTAAAACGGGGAGGTGTTGTGTGCATTCTTTCCACATGGAGAGCCATGAACCTGGGTCGCTTATATCGATTAGAAGTACAAGGTCCGAAGCCGGGACGACCTGGTTCATAAAAAAGTTTATATGCAATAAGAGTTTTTGAGAACAAAATGGGTCTAAGAAACAGATAGTAACAGGACAGAGAAAATTATAAGACGAGAAGCTTCATCATTTGTACTCTTCACTTAAGGGTGATTAGAAACGAATGAGATGGGGATATGCAGTTCGAAGAGAGACGGCTATGTTCACATGTATCATCAGATGAAGGATAATATCATAATCAATGTATGAAGTATTTGACATGCGATGCAACTGAGAAAGAAACTGACCTGTACGTGAATAGGGCCTAATTATGGATTTTTGTAAACTCGGTCTTGAACCTTCTTGTTCCTTCAGGCGAGGTATTACTTGACCGGTTGAGAAATCATTATTATTTTAAAGGAAAAGTTAGCTTCAGATTTTGGCAGGTGTCGTGTACTCCGCCATATCCAAGTCGATTCTGAGACTGATCCAATCACCAGCTACATGGGTATTGGTATGGTCATGAACGACTGTAACTTGTACATCCAAATACCTTTATAACGAGGAGATAAACATCCGCTTTCAAGCACAATGGAGAATAACACAGAATGATGGAAAATTGTTTAAACCGGAACGTACAGCAGAATATTTTAGATTCTATGACATTTGTTTCAAAAACAAAGACTCTTTTACCTTTAATTAATGAATGTTACATATAAAAAAGGAACGAAAAAAAGTAACATTATGAAGGGAAATTTAATATTATAAATCTACTTTCATTATTATCTTTATAAAATGGAGGATATTGTGCTATTTCATAACAGTTTCATCCTGGAGTTCTTTCGACGACGTTCTACCTTGTCTATGCGTATAACAAAAGTTCCGATCAAATTTCAGCATTTATCTTTATTTTTTACGTCTCATTCCTAAATTAATAAACGGACCCATCATAAAAATAAATGCTTAACGTATACTGTATGTAGTTTCAGTTTACGTATACACAGTTTATTAATAGCATCAAATATGTGTCTAATGGCGCTTGGAAATGGACTGCAATAAACCCAGGTTTTACGATAATGCATAGAGATCCTACCTATGACAAAAACACGCCCACCCAAGAGTACATAAGTCGATTAAGTACAGAGTACTCATTATATGAGTTGTAGGTACACGACGTTTCGGAAGGTTGCTGCACTCCAGTCTTCGGAAGATTAGTTTTGTTAATGTTTATTGTGAATATTCATGGCATTATTTGAGGTTGAATAAGATAGTGTAACAATGCTATTTTTGTATTCTACCCATTATAAAACGGGGCAATCC